GGGAGGCTTGGGGAGATATGGCGAGCCTGTTCTCGTGCTCCTCCCTCGCCGAGATATGGGGGGATATGGGGAGATATGGGGAGACATGAGGAGACATGGGGGGATATGGGGAGATATGGCGAGCCTGTTCTCGTGCTCCTCCCTCGCGATCTGCCTCGCGCACCCCTCGCACACCCGCTGCCCCGCAGGGCCAACACCAGAGTACTTGTGCTGCAGAGGCGCGCGCCACTTTAGGTGGGCGGCGCAGAAGGCGCCGCCGCAGTGGCGGCAGTGGTGGCGGCGGCGGGAGATGCCGAACCGGCCGCCCTCCGCCGCAGCGGCCGCCTGGTTAACAGCCATCAACAATGGGTGATTAGCGACTATGGGTGATGGCCGCCCTCCGCCGCAGCGGCCGCCTCGTCTGGCGGCAGCTGCGACGCCGCGCGGACGCACGCGGAGCACGCCTGAGGAGTCGGCCACTGTATCAGCTACTTGTCGAGACTGCTCGCCGCGGACGCACGCACGCGGAGCACGCCTGACGATTGGCCACCGAACGAGTGATCAACCGCTGCTACTGCTCGCCGCGCACGCACGCGGAGCACGCCTCGGCGATGGAGTGAGGCGGCAGGCGCTAGGAAGTGTCTAGGAAGTGTCTAGGTAGTGTCTAGGAAAGAGCACGCCTCGGCGTTGGAGTGAGGCGGCAGGCGCTAGGAAGTGTCTAGGAAGTGTCTAGGTAGTGTCTAGGAAAGAGCACGCCTCGGCGTTGGAGTGAGGCGGCAGGCGCTAGGAAGTGTCTAGGAAGTGTCTAGGTAGTGTCTAGGAAAGAGCACGCCTCGGCGTTGGAGTGAGGCGGCAGGCGCTAGGAAGTGTCTAGGAAGTGTCTAGGTAGTGTCTAGGAAAGAGCACGCCTCGGCGTTGGAGTGAGGCGGCAGGCTCTAGGAAGTGTCTAGGAAGTGTCTAGGAAGTGTCTAGGAAAGAGCACGCCTCGGCGTTGGAGTGAGGCGGCAGGCGCTAGGAAGTGTCTAGGAAGTGTCTAGGTAGTGTCTAGGAAAGAGCACGCCTCGGCGTTGGAGTGAGGCGGCAGGCGCTAGGAAGTGTCTAGGAAGTGTCTAGGTAGTGTCTAGGAAAGAGCACGCCTCGGCGTTGGAGTGAGGCGGCAGGCGCTAGGAAGTGTCTAGGAAGTGTCTAGGTAGTGTCTAGGAAAGAGCACGCCTCGGCGTTGGAGTGAGGCGGCAGGCGCTAGGAAGTGTCTAGGAAGTGTCTAGGTAGTGTCTAGGAAAGAGCACGCCTCGGCGTTGGAGTGAGGCGGCAGGCGCTAGGAAGTGTCTAGGAAGTGTCTAGGTAGTGTCTAGGAAAGAGCACGCCTCGGCGTTGGAGTGAGGCGGCAGGCGCTAGGAAGTGTCTAGGAAGTGTCTAGGTAGTGTCTAGGAAAGAGCACGCCTCGGCGTTGGAGTGAGGCGGCAGGCGCTAGGAAGTGTCTAGGAAGTGTCTAGGTAGTGTCTAGGAAAGAGCACGCCTCGGCGTTGGAGTGAGGCGGCAGGCGCTAGGAAGTGTCTAGGAAGTGTCTAGGTAGTGTCTAGGAAAGAGCACGCCTCGGCGTTGGAGTGAGGCGGCAGGCGCTAGGAAGTGTCTAGGAAGTGTCTAGGTAGTGTCTAGGAAAGAGCACGCCTCGGCGTTGGAGTGAGGCGGCAGGCGCTAGGAAGTGTCTAGGAAGTGTCTAGGAAGTGTCTAGGAAAGAGCACGCCTCGGCGTTGGAGTGAGGCGGCAGGCGCTAGGAAGTGTCTAGGAAGTGTCTAGGTAGTGTCTAGGAAAGAGCACGCCTCGGCGTTGGAGTGAGGCGGCAGGCGCTAGGAAGTGTCTAGGAAGTGTCTAGGTAGTGTCTAGGAAAGAGCACGCCTCGGCGTTGGAGTGAGGCGGCAGGCGCTAGGAAGTGTCTAGGAAGTGTCTAGGTAGTGTCTAGGAAAGAGCACGCCT